AAATATTATCCATATGAATTTCTGACATTTTTCATGACACAGATACTATATCTATGATCAAATGTAATATTCTGGAGCTATGATGCTTAAAGGAGAGAGCTAATGGCTAACAATCTAACAATGCTACGTACAAAGTATTGTGTATAGTGTTTTGTTTTCCCTGATTTCTGTTGAGATATGACCTGATGTATGTTGTCATACAGTGTTCAAATCAGATCTTTTTATGTAGATAAATATCATACTAAAAGACTTTTGTGTTTTTGTACAGGAGGAACAGTGTAACATGCTGACGGCAACGCTGGTGGCTGCAGCTGATTCCTGGAGCTGCTCCTGCTGCAGATTAACATCTTGTTATTTCATACTAAAGGTGCAAGTTAAGAGTGTGTCAAACACATACGTGACCTCCTCTTGTTAAATAAAATTAAAGTTGACGAGAGTATTTAAATATTATCCATATGAATTTCTGACACATACGTGACCTCCTCTTGTTAAATTTTGTAATCCTTCGAATTCTTATTTGTTATCAACTACATCTCCTTCTTCTTGAGTTTATTCAGTGTTTCCTGGTAATAAGTTGCCAGTCGAACAGTGTGGGTGGCTTTGTTTTCTCTGAGCTTTTCTCTCAAGAAACAAACTGTAAATGAAGTTTTAAGTTACCTCTGAGTTTCTTCTCTAACACACCAACATTTGACAAGTACAGGTGGATGTAAAGGCACACGAGCATGTGAAGACTACAGATGTATGACATACAATCAGGTGTTTCATGTAACATGGGAAACACTTGCCGTAATGACTACAATTTGTACCAATCAGTGCTGCGGAGGGAGAAAGTGGATGGACGGATGGATGGATCTTATTTTAAGGCTCTTACTCAGACTCAGTGAAAGAGGAGGTTGATTGTGATTACATAACGCATTTGGCAAACGCAGCCCTGGAGAGGCAGTTGGTAAAAGTCGAGGGAGCGGGAAGTAGAGGCTGAGAGGAGAAAAGGTTTACAGGAGTCGATGGTGGTCAGATAAAACAGCTCCACGCTCGCTGCAAGGAAAGGTTAATGTCTCTCTCTCCATTTCTCCACCTCTCCCTCCCTCGCTTCCCAGCTGAGGTCTGTGTGACTTACAGCAGGTCCAGACTGCATTAGATTAAATCATAAATTACCCAGCCACCCCCATATCTGCATCCCCCCCTCCTCCCCTCTCTATCTTACTCTTCCCTCTCCGGTTCTCTTCCTATCTCAATCTCGCTCTCTCCCTTTATTCTTCTATATTCCATTCCCGTGTATTTCTCCTGCTCCCCCACTATTATTTCTCCCCAGCTCTAATCATTATTCTCTTTTCTTCACCCCCTCATTCCTCTCACTCTCCCCATCCTCTACTTTATGAAAGCCTTTCTGGTAAAGCTCTGCTACAGTGGGGGTTGGACAGTGGGACGTGTGCTTGCAGCTACAACGGTTTTGTTTAGTGTTACAGTAGTCTGGAGTGGCTTGTTACCACTGATGGGAAAAACGCCGGGAAAATAAACCGCGTTGGTAAGAGCGTTACTGTTGTCAGTAATAGGTAATGAAGCGAGTTGCTGTAATTACTGTTCAAATCATTACATCGCTGTTACTGTTACTGACAACTGGCCGGTCACTACATTACAAAAACTCACCGTGTTTCTGTCCGACCTAGCTCTTAGCCACAGGTTTCAGGGTGCTGCTGAGGGGGACGAGGGTGAGAGTTGGCTAAAGAGTAAGCAACCAGCGGCAGAGGTTGAGAGAGTAAAAAATAAAGGGCTAAATGTCTATGTTAATGTTGGTAATGTCCAGGAACTAAGACTGTCAGTGTCCATGTCAGGTCATTCTAATTTACCAAAGCCCCTGTCAGCCATAACTACAACAACACCTATGGATAAGAACATCAGTGTTCATAGCTGTATGCACCTAGTAAAGAAGGAGACGGAGCCACACAATCCAAGCAGACCGGGCTTCATGTTTTTGCTCCACACAAGGTCGTTCTACAGACAGAACTACACAAACTGATAACCAGGTATGATGTCCAGAACGTGCTGCGTTTGAGTCCCATTTATTCAGCGCTCTCGTAGCAAAAACACAGGCTGGAGAGGTGGGAGAGGTGTAGGTCGACCTTCATTATATCTGAGCAGAAGGACGGACTCTTACTTGATTTACTTGCACTGATAAAAAAAGAGATATAATATAGATATGATGAAGCCAATCCATCTAGTGCCTCAGTAGAGACTGTCCCCCCGCTGAGGACCGGGTTCTCTGACCAGACATTTGATGAGCTTCTGGTTTAAGGAAGAACCACTGGGTTTTCGTCCAGGCTGCACGGGTGGACGGATGGATAAGTGTAAAGGAGAGTATGGATGAATAGTCGAATGAATATTCAGTAGCTATTGTTGGATTTATATAGCAAGCAGTGATTGATATTTGAATGGAGGCAGAGGGAATTACATCAGTGGCCTCTGTTAGACCTCTGCTGTAAGAACAACCCAGTGTGTGACGTGTCAGCAGCTGGAGAGAGAAAAAGAATTTCATTTTCGTATTAATATTGCTTAACTTTTAAATGTATTTCGTTTAATTACATAATTTGTTCTTAAACTCATTTGCCGGCCAGTTACAATCTGATGAGCGTTAAATATCAGAACTTCTAAAACATCTACTGTGTTACATTTATTAGTAATGATATCTACAAAAATATTTTAAATTGCCTTTCACTCATGGCCGCACAGCAACTTAAAACTATTGTAGCTTTATGACTAGTATGATGTATGACTGAACTTCAACTCCTTTGGATTATTCAGTACATTTAAAGGTGTTTCCGTACCACCTAATGTTGTTTACGTTTCTCAAAGCACTGACAGCGGACTTTAATGTAACCTATGTAGTATAACAGCAACTAAACCACAACACGCTGTTGTTTGTAGACTTAAAGGCACAGAGGCAGGTTCCTGGCTTTATAAAATGCTGGTGGGATTAGTGAGACCTCGGGCATAAGAACAAGAAAGAAGGGGAAAAAACACAAAAGTCCCTCTACATCCAGCCCTCCCACTCCTTACTCCACTGCTCCGCTGGAGAAAAGGGGGAATAAAATAGAGTGACCCTGCCACGAGCAGTTCTCTTTTCCCCCCACTGCTCGCTTCTTCCTCCCCCTTGCCGTGTGAAATCAAATTTCCATGTGGCTCCCGTATCTGTTGCACAGCGAGGTGATTTATCAGGGATGCAAAGAGCATGCAGAAACAATCTTTATTACATCCATTTCCTGCTTGTCAGCCGGGATCATGTTGGCTGTTCATTAAAGGCTCGGCGCAGGTGAGGAGAATGCATCCCGATGCCTTGATAGATTGTCTGCTCCCCTGTGGTGACAGCAGCTGGATGGATTGAACAGCGGGGGGCAAGGAGGGATAGGGGAAAAAAAAAAACGCTGACTTGGTTGCTACCCCTGTCAGATGCACTTTTCCATCCCTGGCCAGTGTCATTTCCAACAAACAACCACACTGTGCACGCAGGTACGTGCACATACACATACACACACACACACACACGTGCGAACCCACTTTTTTTTGACAGTCTTTGGACCAAAGCCAGGAGTCTTCCTTAATGCATGGATTCAGACACACCGTGGACATACAAACACTGGTATTTATGGACACTTGTGTAAATCTGCTGGGACACACATGGTTTAGAAAATGAGATTTATTTTATCACACAGATATCAACCCAGCCGATCGCTCTATTCATGACACTGGGCTGATAATATCCAATCAGGATGAAAGGCACTCAAATAACTGACATTTCTGTTTTAGTTCATCCTCCGACATCCAAATTCAAAAAGGCAGATAATTATTGCTTGTTTAATGTTTAGAAGATCTATTTTACATTTTACATAATTGTACGGCAGTACTGGGCAGATACAACACTATGGTTAACAACTTCAACACACAGCTATCCACTCAAAACATTAGTAAAAGCAAATGATCTCCCAAAAATGCTAAAAAAATATCTATCCAAAGGCAGTCTTTCTATTTTAGAAACAGGTGTCGTTAAACTCTTGTCTTCAACTGTGCGCACCTGTGAAAGTTCTAAATTGAAGCCAAGGTCATATTTCAGTGTTCACTGTAG